GGCAAAAGTAATAGTTTTTATTGAAAAATTATGATTACAATATGTGGCTTCGCGACTCGAAACTCCAAAATGAAATCCGAGCACGAAAAACGAGGAAAATTTGCGAGCGCATTAATTATAAATGAAATATTGAAATACCTTACTCCCGCCTAACTGTTCTTCTTGGATTACCTATTTGTGGATACAGTACACGCTTTTATGACCGAAGCTTAATTTTACGTACAATTTCGGCGGTTACGTTTACATGCGATAAATTGAACTTTGGAATTTGTCGAAAGATTTTCAAGTGGGAAACAGGCCTTTCAACTGACTGAATTTTAACATTTACGGACAACTTTGTACAATTCATAAAAACTATTATTTACATTCTTTTTACGGTTCAAGACTCTCTTTCTTAACATCAGAATGATTGACCTTTACATATTAACTGAATTTTAGGCCTGGGTAACTCTCTGTATTAGGCCTGGGTGAACTCAGTGAATTTTTAAGTGTTGGCGCAGTGCTACGCGAATGGCTTGGTGCGCCAACCCAACGCACTGGCGCAGTAACTCAGTTCCGTTGCTGAGAAAATGTTGATGACTTTTTGTTACTTGTTTTTAGATTTCTTTTAAGGGCCATTTATCAATAATATTTTTGACATTTCTTCAAAAATTTCAGAATTTTACAGTTTTAGCAAAGTTACTCTTTTTTCTAAATGCTCAATTTTCAAAAAATTCACTTAAAAATATTGACAATCTTAAGGTATTTTCCGCGAAAAATTATGAACTAAATTTCGAATCCTTCGTCGCTGCTTTGTAAAAAGTTTTGAATTTGAAACAAAAATCAAATAATTTTCTATCAAAAAACGAACAGAATAAGCGAAAGTTAGATTGAACTTGGACTTGGAAATCTCGTCACCTCCATACCTCTAAAGAAAGTATAGTTTGTTTAAAAAATGTGGTTTTTTAGTTTTGAATTTTTTCTAGTCAAAAACGCTTTAGTTTACGTCTTTACGCGAAAAATTACAAGATAAATTTATAGCTTTCTATAAATTTTGCAAAAACTTTTTTCATCGTCGAATTCGGGACACAAACGAAAATAAGTTCCTACCGTTTTTTTTTCACCATTAAGATTATCTTCAAAACCGAAAACGAGCAAAGAACAAAAGTTTAAAAAATATATTTGGAAAATTCGCCGCCCATCGCTCATCGCTCTGAAGATTTTTAAAGTTCCTTTCTATTAAGCAATTCTTTCTACGCAAAAATCAAATTATTTTTTAATTTTACTTAAAATACTGAGACTTTTCAGGTATTTTCTGTGAAAAATTTTAAGATATTTTTTTTAGAAAATTTTAGATATATTCCGAAAATATTTCCCCGAACTAAAAATTCGAAAGTTTATAATCATTTATTTGGAAAACGCTTGGAAACTGGGGTTTCTTTACTTTTAGGTCAATATTTCTAGACAACACTGTCTCTAAATAGAAAAACCGAGTTTTTTCCTAACGTTTTACTGTAAAATACTGGCCAACTGAATCTTTTAGGCAAAAAAATGAATAGATGGATTTTACAAGAAAACTCGTCGACTTTATTTGGACTCAGTTCTGTTGCTGGGAACATCTAGATGACTTTTTTTCAGTTGTTTGAACAAAGTAGTGAAACGTGACCCAGAAAAAATATTAATGATTTTTTTTAGATGTGAAAATTTTAGTCTCGGGTATCGTATAGCTTCAATAAATGACTTATAACTCATGAACCGATGAGTTATAACTCGTTAACTTAACGGCAACAACTCAATAGCGCAACTCACCACAGTGTTACCCGGGCCTACTCTGTATAAATGCAAAGTCCAAGTTTTTCCAGATAAAGACTATACCGGGTATTATGTTCTAAAGCCGTTAAAGCCCTATTATCTTTTTAACGCCCATGAGCGAATGTTTATAAAGGTTCCCACTCGAATTTATTGTTTTCGATGTACATTCGTTCAAGCAGCCAAAGTGTCCAGCCTCTGTCTTCTCCAATCGCTGAGTTGTTCACGTTTATAAATTTGCCATCTTAAATGAAATCTTGTATATCTTAATATAATAAGTAGGTATACTTTAAAAATTATTCCTATATATTTGCAAACTCGATTGAAAAACTACCGTCCGTTTCCTGATTTGATAAAATTTACGGTTTTATAAGGGTTGATAGAAACGCCCACTCTATTGATTTGTATTGATTCTTATTGTACTTTTGTAAATCGCAAATTTATCCAGTTGACATGGTAGCCGTTTTCTCGTTTCGAATGCACATTTTAAGCGTCTATTTTATCTAATCGCTGAGTTGTTGGTGCACGTTTATAAAATTGCAATGTTGGCTGAATTGATTTTTTTTTTTAATTTACCCGGTATATTATTAATCAAGTTGAAATTTTCTCACGTGAAGGAATTCAGTACATTTTAAGTTCTGGCAAAATTTTAAAGCCATATCGGTTCCTAAAACTGATTTGTGAGTGTTTATAAAAGTGCCCACACTACGTGATTTCCAAGTCCACTTCAAACATGCCCAACTACTGGAGTAAATTTTATTGAATATATCAAACTCCATCTTTCCTAATAGGTACCTGAGTTGTAAACATTTATAAAGTATCCAGTACACTAAACGGCAATCTTAGTTCATGTAAAAGCGTTTATGCGAAGTTCTATCATACTTTTTCCGTATATATACGTGCACTCTACGCAGAGACAAGTCTGGTACTTGTCTCTGAAATATGAACGTTTATAAAGGCGCCCACTACTACCGGCGCTTTAAAAATATTTCTTGATCTTTTAAATATTTTTTTGACATTTGCGACATGTGCTGTGTGACTGTCTGAGACTGAAGTGTCAATCGTAAATTAGCAATGACATCGTTGTAAAGGTGTCGGTAAAAGAACCGTATCGATATGTCATTAAGCAAATCCTCAAATGCCTCCTGTAAGTATCAAGGCAGTTGTGAGGAATTAGTTCTTTAAACGATTACGACACATCGGAGACATGTAGGAATTTGCCGGTATGATGGATTGCAGACGAAACAAATTCACGAGTTTGCTAATGTTAATTAAAACTTCTGGACTGGCTTAATATTGAATAATTATTTAATTGTGCGTTGAAACGACATTCTCACTGAATCCGGTCAAAGCTTGCTATTGTTATCTTCAAATTGAGTGTTAAAAATATAAGGGGGACATTTTTTGTTCTTTTTCTTTGCAATTTAGTGTATACAGGCCCTTAGATGAAATCGAATTGCATTTTTAAACTTAGATTTGCATTTCGTTCCGGTTTCCTAGCTAAGAAGATCAATTTAACTCATAAAAAATTTTAGGGGACGATTTTCACTTGCCTTAAGGACCCTGTTTTCCTTTAGAGTTCTTATGGCAAGTGCTTATTGGTGTGCAAGTCGATATGGTCGAATTCAGTTTAATTAATGATTTTTAAAATAGATAATTCTGTTATCAAACGGATGACGAAAGCAGGTGGGCTTTTAATATTAATCTGCACTATTGCGTATGTCGGCCCTAATGTCAAATTTATTCTTCATTGACGGTTCTGAAGCTAGTTGATTTTGACTAATATGTCAAAGTTTGTAATGACGGATGTTGGATGATGGATGTCACGTTGGCAGTTTATTCGCAAATGTGCATTTTTAATTTTGTGTTTTTTTACAGTGTACCATCACAAAATATCCCCCCTGTGGGTATGTTCTGTGTGTACCATTTGAAGAAAATACTAGATTTGCGCGTGGAACTCAGCAGGAGACATATCAGTTCGTATAGTTTGTGAGTTCGGGTTCATCAATGACTTCAGACAGTGTTGGAAAGTGCGTTTAGTGCTGAAAGCATGATTTGAGGGTAAGTAAATTATAATTTCTAAACGGAGCATTTTGCATTTGAGGTTATATGTTAAAAAGTGTCAAAACGTTTGATATATCAAACAATGACTTTTTGATATTGCTGTCATTTTTGAGCGGTATATCGTTGAATGTTTGAAAGAAGCGTCTTTTCGTTATCTCTCAGTATTTTTGTAGGTACCTACTTATGCAATTTTGACTTTAAAACCGCGATTTTCTCGTTTGCTGTTTTCTTTTCTCTCTGGAAAAAGGAAACCGTTTGCTGTTTGCTGTCTAGTGTAGGTGGCCATTTTGACAGACATCATGTTTAAGCATATTTGACAATAAGAAGTCATGATTGGTCGGTAGTTGAAGTTTCGAAGAATTTGAATGTTCAACTGATCGTTAAAACCGGTGAGTTTTTCTTGCCAGATGCTTGCTCGCATCTGGCAGCAGCATCTACTTCTGAAGATGGAAAACACTAGTGCTTCCGAAACGTTAGGAACTAAATATTTTTCACGATGGGCTAAAATCCCGAAAAATTCACTAATTTTCAGCTACGCGCTCGGAAATTTAACTCTTTTGATCCAGGGCTTATTACAAACTTTCTTGAAAAACTGTTGCAACCGCTGTTAGTGTTTTAAAATATTTACAGTATGTTTCATTTAAATACAAATTTTCAAATTTTATCCAGACTTAAAATTTGGCATGATTGCACCATAAACGCAGTTTTTAAACTTTATGGAACTCGAAGGAAAAATTACTAAATGGCATGAGGCTATTTTATGTCCACATTTGTGTAACAACAGAGTTAAAATGCAAATTTTTATAGTCAGGTCTCCTCAAAACTGACTATCCTTTGGATAAAAATATGCAAAATTGGTATTAAGAAAATGTTTAAGGTTGTGGTAGCAGGGTGCTTTAAAGCG